CCTCTCAAATCAATAACTTATGTTGAGAAAACAACATCTAGCTCGCCTCGACTCTTCCGACTAAGAAAGTCGGCCGCCACGTTAGCTTTCCTCGGATGGTAGCTATTCGTATCGACAGTCCTAGACGAGCTTAAACCACTTTCTTTGCTTGGACAGATCGTAACGCTCCTCCTGCGACTCAACTTTCCCGGGATGAACAAAGATGTCATTGAGAATCACGACGAGTAAATGGTCTTTTCAAAATATGCAAACTTCCCCAATTGATAGATTAAGTCCCAATTCTCGACTTGGGTACTTAAGGAACACACACTCCATTAACTTCACAAATGAAAACAATTAAGAACAAGTAGAAACAACTAAGGCACTTGGTCTTATAATCGAAGAAGAAAAATACAAAGTTCCAAACACAAATACTAAAATCCGAATGAATAAAGAAGAACAATAACTTTCAAGAGATTGCAATTAAACAAGACTAGATGACTACTTCCAATACTATTTGCCCACCCTCGTAGATCAATCTTGGTTTGGGTCATCCTCATTCTGGGCCAACATGTAGACACGTGCCCTTCCTCCTCCTCCAAGTCTCAACTGGTCATGTTGGGGTTGTTGCCGTGGTTGTTGGTTCTGTTGCTGACCGCGCTCCGGACATTGCTTGGTAAAATGTCCCGGCTTCTTGCAGTAGTAGCAGACCTGTTGACCTGCCAAGCACACTCCTCTATGAGCCCTGCCACAGTTACCACACTGCGGCGGCCCATCAGGCATTTGGCGGATAGGCTGAACATTCTGGATATGAGGGTGATCGCCACGTCCGTCTACTCCTCCACGCTTGTTCCGCTGTTGGTCACGTCGATCATCTCGCTTCCTCTTGCTCGAGTCCGAAGAGGGCTGAGCAGTAGCAATTGGCTGGATAGTCTGAGCGGCATGCTGGAATGATGGCACATGAGCAACGGGAGCCATACAGCTCTCGATCTGTTGTGCTCTGATGACTGTCTCCGCAAACGGTAGGTCTCCATGACTCGCCACAAGGACCCGGATATCTTGTCGAAGTCCGTCCCTGAATTTACGGGCTTTTCTCTCTTCCGTATCGACCATGTGTCGAGCGAAGGCAATCAACCGGGTAAAAGCCCGAGCATACTCATCAACGGAAGTGGTACCCTGTCGGAGATCATAGAACTCTCGCTCCTTCTGGTCACGATAGCTCTTGGGAATGTACTTGTCAGTAACAATCTCGTTCATCCTCACCCACGTGAGGGCAGTCCGCTCAGCCTCTGACCTCAGAACCCAATAGTCAGTCCACCAGTCGGCGGCATCACCCTCCATCTAGTACTCTGCGCACTCAATGCGCTGGGCGTCCGAGCATCGGAGAACGGTGAAGATCCTCTCCAGCTTACGGAACCACTCCGTTAAAGCTATTGGCCCCTCCTCTCCAGAAAAGGTTGGGGGACGCATGTTCTGAAACCGCTCAATCATACGACCATGATCTTCACCCTGAGCGGGTGGAGCCTGCTGAAACTGAGGATCTCTTCGAGGACCCATAACTATGCGACCGGTTGAAACTTTTAGCACAAACTCAACCACTAAAGTTCAAATTACTTAAAGAAAGGAGGATAAATTTCCTAAGCCCCATTCTAAAGTCAAACTTAGACTCATGCAGAGTCATACACATAGTCATAAAAAGGCAAACATGCCTCATATGCTGAGACTTATCTAACCTCATATGTGAACTTATTAAACAGAACTTCTTAATTCATACATATGATTTCTATCATAATGGAACTGAATCGCATAGTCATATCAAACTGAAACTGAAACATTTCATGTAACTTTGTCTTATTGAACTGAATTACCACATAATACTTACTTTGGGTTTGGCGCGGCACGATGAAGGCGGGTGGTCAGAACTTAAAACCTTTCAAAAATAATTTCAAAAATTCTCTAACTTTGAAAGCTTTTAGCTAAAAAAAAATTTGCAAGTCTACAGAACCATAGACCCGCTCTGATACCACACTGTAACGCCCCGTTATTTGAAAGATAAAATACCGAATATTTTTCTAAAAACCAGAGTTTATTTTTCGCAAATCATTTAAAAAAAATGTGTAACGGGCATTACTTAATCTATCTCAATTTCGACTGACATTACAAAAGCTATTATTTCTATCAAAACATTCAGAACATAAATAAATGTTTTAAAATAAACACGTTTCACTTAATCAATCTATAATTTAAATGTTCAAATTTGAATACAAATTCCAATAGAGTATACAGAAAATATAAATATAATTAAAGACGACCACGCCCGTCCTCTCGTGTCCGCCGCCAGCTCGATCAACCTGAAAAACAAAGGGGTGAGCACCGTCTCTCGGCTCAGTGGTAAAATTTATACGATGCATCGATTCAGTATAAACAAAGATAGAATAATAATTATATAAACACGTAAAGTTTACTGTCTCACCACTGAGTGATATCATCCCGGCTTCAAGCCTCCAGGTAAATTCGGACTAGTGACTCTTATTTCAAGCCTCCATAATTTACCCGGCTAATTAGCTATTATACGCCGTTAACCTATGTTCATGAACGTCGGTATGGTTACTTAATAGTGCATTCGGCATCAACCGATCCCGCTAATAAATAACTCTACTAGTGCCATTGGCATTACCCAGTCCCGCTAGTAGATAACTTGACTGATAATTACCCGGCCTAGTGACTCTTATTTCAAGCCGCCATGGTAAAAGTTCACATCACACATTAGGCCCCACCGGCCCACAATCATATGCATATAAAAACTATACTACCGCATGTTTATAAAGAATAAACCATAGTATAGAACCCCCACCTGATAACTGATGATGTGAGGAACAAGTGCAGATGAAGAGTAGCTGACGACACTCGAAACAATTCTCGAGATTTGACTCCTCGAGATCTCTTCTGAGAAGGTTCAAAAATGGGACTAGGCTCGGTCAGAGGTGACTCTCGAGTCTAGGGCTGAAAAGGGCCTTGGGTGAGGCTCTCGGCTCTCAAATCTCGCAGACGGCAAAGCTCGACTCGCTCCAGTCGGGGTGGATTGGCCCTTGACTGACCGCAAGGTCGCTGCTTTAGCCGGAAATAGTTTGGGCCTCCTCGTCTGGACTCGGTGCGCTTGGGTACACCCAAATATCCTCACCGAAGAAAATACTCGGTCGCCAGCGTTTGCTGACCTTCTCACCGTGGAGCTGGTGGCTCTCGGATGACAGGAGATCGGATCGTGGTTCGCCGTCGGAAGCTCGCTGGCCGAGAGGAAATTTTGAGGGAGTTCGATTAATTGAAGGCGACTCGATGCTTACTGCTTAAATAGGGGAAATTAGGGCTGCTAATGCCGCTGCCGGATTTTTGGGGAAGACCAGATTCCATGGAGATCGGGCGTCGTGGTAACTGATGGTGGCAGATTGATGGCCGAGAGAAGAGGGGAGGTTCTGTTTGGCTGCGACCTGGTCGATATGATGGAGATGGGCTGAGACATTAAAGTCTCACTTAAGGTCTAACGAAATTAACGACTTGGGCCGAGACATGGAGGCCGATTCAAGGACTAAAATGGGCTGCTTAGACTTGGTCTTGGTCTGAAGGGCCCAATAGTGACTTAGGCTAAAAAAAATGACTTAAGGAAATAGAAGGCAATCAGTAACTACACTAGCCCATGAAATATACTAAAGAAAATTATAACACTTAGGCACAAAATAGAATTTAATACTTAGGCAAGAAAAGACATAAAGCAAAAGCATATTAATCAGTTATTTAAATAGGCACATAATCAAAAATCACTTATGCACATATTCAAATAATTACATCGACACATAATCAAGTAGACACTTAGACAATTAGTCAATTAATTACTTAAGCAAATAGTCAATTAAGCACTTAGACAAATAATTCATATAATCACATAATTTACTTAGGAAAATACTTCTCATAATCACGTAATTCAATTAGATAAATAATTCACATAATCACATAATTCAATTAGGCAATTGATTCACATAATCACATAATTCAAACAAATAATTTACAGTTAGGCACAAAAATAACATTTAGGCAAATTTGGTACAACCAAACACATAGACACATCAAGGAAATCAAGCACTTAAGAAAACAAAATTGACACTTAGCACACATAACACTTAAGCACAAAAGGTACAATTATGAATAAAATTCACTTAATTGAATTATGCGATAAATCCACAATTAAGCATAAATAAATCACTCAGCATACAAGGCACAAACGAGATTCTAAATTAGTCGAGCCATAAAACGTTATAATTTAATAAAATAAAACGGGGCGTTACATATGTTGAGAACCGATACTGATAAGTTGGAACCGAGATCAGAAGTAAGGCTGTTTGTGGGATATCCTAAGGAAATGAAAGGTGGTCTATTTTATAGTCTCGAGGACCAGAAAGTAATCGTTAGCACGAATGCTAGGTTCTTGGAAGAAGACTATGTCTTAGATCATAAGCCCAGTAGTAGACATGTTCTTGAGGTGTTAAAGGTAGTGAGTACTTCAATAACGAGTGCGCTAGATGTTACACTACAAAGTACTGCAACACGTATCGCTGATGATGCACCTGAGCAGGTAGTACCTCGTCGTAGTGGGTGGGTTGTCCGGCAACCCGAACGGTTCATGGGTCTGGGAGAGTCTTCTAAGGCTGTCCCGGACGTTCTTGAATCCGACCCATGGACATACAATGAGGCACTCCAAGATCGGGACGCAGAGTCTTGCCAAAAGGCGATGAAATCTGAATTAGAGTCAATGGACACTAATCAGGTCTGGGATCTTGTAGAGCCACCCAGTAGCATTCGCGCCATTGGATGCAAGTGGGTTTAAAAGAGAAAGAGAGGATCAGATGGAAAGGTTGAGACCTTCAAAGCTAGGCTTGTTGCGAAAGGGTACACTCAGAAAGAAGGGATCGATTATGAGGAAACCTTTTCGCCGGTA